CCCAAGGTACCAGAAATATTAATAATTCTTTATACTTCGAATCTTGACCTACATATAGAAATTGACGATATGAGAGTTTACCACAAAGAGATGATTTCAGCTTCCCAATTTTTAACATCCAATTTCTATGTAGCAACATTCCAGCAGCGCCTGCATATGTAGTATATATCTTCCAGTTGGTACGATATTCCAGGGCTTGCATTTCCTATCATGATTTCCTTGATAGAGGGTTGATGTTCACAAGGAAGCTATTAAACCAAGAAATTAGTGAAGTTCAATCATCCCTGCGAAAATTTTACGGACATCATCACCAGTTGGTTGACCGTTATGGAATACTGTAGTTACCACAACCCTATTCTCTTTTTCCTGAATGTGACCTACCGAATTAGACATATGCACTGGGTTTGTATTTACAAATGTACATGAGCAACACGACGGGTGCCACATGTGGAGCAGGATCATGCTTACGCTTCCGGGGCACCTGAGAGCATCCCAGGTTTTTGGTTGAGTTCGTGTTGCTCAGTCTTTCATTTAAAATGTTGTGTTTTGTTTACTATTGTTTATCTTTTGGTCTTTTTCTCTTTTTTTTTGCCATGGCGTTGTCAGTTTATTTTCGACTTACGAGTTTAAATGTTCCTTTGGTATCTTTCGCCTCTCTTTTATATATGTATAAAAAACGATTGGTAGTGATACAGTTGCAGTGGATGGACAACATCCGAGTTCAGGTATGATAAATAAATAAATCGGGAATGTGCCCATGGGACACAGATGATGCCCCCCGCTTGTATATAACGTTATAAAGGGTCATAACTCAAGAACGGTACCCAAATTTGTACTTGATCTGAGTTTTGTGGTAATAAGCATTGTGTATAAGTTTCATAACATTTGGTTGAGACAAACTAAAGTTAGAGAATGGAAACCAATTTTGGGACGTACGTACGTACGGACGGACAGACAAGGGTAAAACTTAATGCCCCCTCCGCTAAAATTGCCTCCATTGGACCTTTGGCATTGCACAAGGTCATGTTTTTCTCTGATTGTTAATGACGTCTTTACACTAAATCCCTTGGATGTTGGATGTGTACTGATTGATATTTTAGTCTTAGATACATGATTTTTTTTCCATTAGTTTTTATTGGCTTTGAACTAGCTGTCAGTAACTGCGAATACTCTCAGATATGTACTTAGTGTCTTTTTGTGTTTTTGGGATGTATAAGTACCCGTCCACGTCCACTCTGTGTTTTTTTTAGATGCATTTCTATTTGTATCCATCTGATGAGTTGCAGCCTTTTACAACTGATTTTTATAGTTTGTTCTTATGTTGTACTGTTACACCACTGTCCCAGGTTAGGGGGGGGGGTGGGGGTGTTGAGCGCTCACAAACATGTTTAACCCCGCCACATTCTTTATGTGCCTGTCCCAAGTCAGGGGCCTGTAGTTCAGTGGTTGTCGTTGGTTCATGTAAGTCATATTTGTTTTTCGTAAATTGGGCCTTTTATAGCCGACCATACGGTATGGGTTTTTCTCATTGTTGAAGGCCATACGGTTGCCTATAATTGCTTATATCCACTTCATTTGAACTTTGGTGGATAGTTGTCTCATTGGAAATCATACCACAACTCCTTATTTTTATAAAGTAAAGGATATAAGCCGATAACAGTCCATTCTGTTCAATATTTGACAGAATGGACTGTTAGAGGCTTATATCTTACTTAAAACATTGTTTAACTTGTCAAAGAAGGTAAAAAAAGTAAACAAATACAAACTTTGTAAAGATTTATTTTTATCAAGTCTGTAAATTGTTCTGGATAAACATTATTAATATCATCCTACATGTTGGCCCCTTTAAACAATAGCTCATCATAACAATAGAAAAAGATAGAGTATAGTTGAAAGTATACTAAATGTATAGCTACATGTACATAAAAACCTAGTACATATGTATCATGCTTTTTGCGTGCGCTAAAAATACATTATATATATTATCCGTGAATTCCTTCACATGCATTTGGTGTCTAAAAATGGATTAAGACGATGAAAGTATTCTCAATGCAAAATTCTTTACGACAAGAAGATAGGGATGTCGAATATAGTTATTTTGTTGTTTCAAACTTTGGATTAAATTCAAATCTGTGTTCAAATATTAACGATTGCTGTGCGGTAATCGAGGAGGATTTAGTTATAGCAGCTAATAATGGCAAGTTTTATATATATCTTAAAATGTGATAAGCCCTCTCCTATCACTTCCTTATTCCTTCTGGGTTTTATTTCTCATTAGGTTCACGTTGCAGAAAAAGATTCAACCATATCGAGTACACCGCAGTCGGTTTTATTTCAAATACAACACTATTAAATATACTGAATGAGCGCACATGAAGATATAACAAGCATGCAAGCAATTTTAAATTTTGTTTTTTTTGTTCTTTGGGATTCCCACCTTTTTTCAATGAATTATTAGAGAATTATGATCCAAATATTATATATTTTACTTGCAAAAATGAATTAATATAGTTATAATATCTAAATTCATTGCCATGAAATATCCGGCGATCAAGAAATCAATCAGACGTATTCACCTACTATACATGAAAAAAATATATTGATTCATTATTTTCCCGTATGACGAAGGCCCCCGCCCCTCTTTCTTCCTCGTTCACAGAAATTGACTTTAACTCGGCGGTTGTCTTGCAGATAAGATAAGATAATTTTATTGGTTCAAAATCCAAAATTATAGGATTGTTACCAAGACAATAAACATTGACTATACATAAACATACAAACATAATCTGACCACATTTATAAACATTATATATATAACTGTATATCCCCTCCATTATTTGCAAGAGACAGTTATTGTTTACCTAATCACATAATCACAAATTTTTTGCCAATATAGTCACATAATCATTAATTATTTTTTGAAACAAGATAATCAAATAATCAAAAATACAGTCCTAGATTATCAAATAATCAAATAATCATGAAATATTTGGTCTGGTAATCAAATAATCACTATAAAAACGGCCTAGTAATCACATAATCAAAAACCCCACGAGAAGGCTCTAAACCGGACCACATGAATACCCCCGACCCCCCTTTCCTGTTTTTTCTGCAAGGTTCGTGTCGCTCATTTTATAGTTTTTTTGCGTATTGCTGTCGTTTTTTTCATGTTTAGTACCGACAAATATTATTTTTGTCCCTCGATTTCCCCATGTTAACAATGCTTTCTTTTTTTTTTCTTTCAAAACAAAGCATTGTAAGTGTGAATATCCTTGTTTTTGTGCTTAATATATATTTATTGTACTCATTGACAATCAATTTTACTTTTGAGATCGTATGTGTTTGAGACTGTTTATAAATACATTGGAAGGAAACAAATGTAATTCGTATTTTTATGTTATATATACTCATAGTAAAAATACCCTTTATTAATAACTCCCCATTTTTTACTCAATTCAATGCAGAAAATGTTTTTTTGTTAAAAAAATTTTACACAATTACAAACTGTATAAAAACTTATTTAACAAACATATGATTTAATCTAGCACCTACGGTTATTTAATTTCAAGATACTACATCGTTTTCTGAAGAAAAAAAAAGGATCACTACGAACAAAGTGCGAATCGGACATACGATTGATTTCTTTAACTTGTGGTTACGTGTTCCTTTTTTCTGTGTCTTATATTCACCGGCGTTGATTTACTAGTCTTTTATTGAAAATTCTGATATTATTGCCTGTATAGGAATATAATACAATACAACGCTTATCAACGACATCTGAAAATTAAAAAAAAAATGTGTAGCCCCTTAGTTCATGAAGCAAGTTTTCGATCTGCACTTTGTACACGGGATGAGGTTTAGGTTGTTAATCAAATTCGTAATTAACTATTCTGTCCAAGGAACAATCTGTGGCTTTCACATCAACACTTAGTAAAACAACGTCATCAGATGAACGATTTCTCCTAATTATGATAATAAAATTATTTTACTTGCGGTCCACGTATTGCGGCATGATCTATCAAGCGTTAGAAGCGTTATTTTATTTTTTTTTCATTTTCGTTGTAGCTGAAAATGATGTTAGGAAGAATGAGAGCAACACAGATGTGGATTTTTATATCCAAAGACGGACGAGATCAAAAATCTTTCTCAAAAATAAATACCTAAAAGCTCCAAAAACAAAACTTACAACGAGCATTGTCAACCAAATTGGTGCTAAAGGAGACCACCCAAACATGAGAAAAATGGCTGTGAAATAAATATTGACGCTGGCAGTGTTAAAATCAATTTAAAAGTTTTGTTTTCAAGAAACCGTCTTGGTGAGTGACACAATTATTGTATTGGAAAGTGATCTTAATAAAAAAAAGGTTTTTGGTGTAATTGTCATTTGTTCTTTTGTTGTTCATTTTTTTTCAAAATTTGTTTTTGCAAAAACATATTTTCCGATTTAAAGCCAGCAACGCCTTCCCTGAGTAATATCTTTGTGAGCGCCTCAGCCCCAAACACACCCTAATAACAACGTAGTATCCTTTGTGTTAGGTCTTTGTACTCTCAACAAATACTGACTGGGTATAAATCTTGAAAAGTAAACTGCATTTACGTCATCTGGGTGAATGACATTTAGTTTCTTTATTTAAAATCGTATACATATGAATGGAATAAGAGACAGCACACCAACAACACATTAAGTTAACCTTTTAGATTTTAGGTCTCAACCCTACAATGTAAATACCGTAATACATTTGTTAAATTTTTACCAATTTAGATCATACCCATCTTTAGTCTTATATTCAAAGTATTTTACCAATTTAGATCATACCCATCTTTAGTCTTATATTCAAAGTTTACCAATGTTTGGCTATATCAGCTTTTATTGCATGTGCTTTAACATCTAGCTTATTATTGTGCCTATCATTATCATTTATAAACAGTGCTCTTGTATGGCTTTCATTTTTTATACGACCGCAAACATTTTTTGCGGTCGTATATTGGATCACGTCGTCGTTGTCGTCGTCGTCAGCGTCGTCGTCGGCGTCGTCCGAAGACATTGGTTTCCGGACAATAATTTTAGTTAAAATGTATGGATCTCTATGAAATTTAACCAAAAGGTTCAATACCACAAAAGGAAGGTTGGGAATGTTTTTGGGGGTGATGGTCCCAACCGTTTAGGAATTAGGGGCCACAACAAGCATTTTTCTAGTTTCAGGACAATAACTTGTGTATAAGTATTTTGATTGCTCTGAAATTGTACCACAATGTTCAATAAAACAAGTAGAAGGTTGGGATTCATTTTGGGGGTAATTGCCCAAACCGTTCAGGAAGTAGGGGTCAAAAAGCGTCTAAACAAGCATTTTTCTAGTTTTCAGACAATAACTTGTGTTTAAGTGTATGGATGTCTCTTCATTTGTACCACATTTTACAAAAAGAAAATTTCTTCAAAATTAATTTATATGTCCCCATTCAAATGCATTGATCGTCAAAAAAAAGGGGGGTGCCAACCCCCGGAACCCTCCCCCCCCCACTGGATCCGCCACTGATGTCTCTTAATTTGTACCACATTTTACAAAAAGAAAAATTTCTTCAAAATTAATTTTTTTGGAAGGGGGGTGGGGGGTAAAAAAAAAATTTTTTTGGGGGGGGGCATTTTTTATCTCAAAAGAAAATTCTCTTCAAATATTATTTTTTCTGGAGGGGGGTAAAAAAAAAAATTTTGGGGGGGGTCAATTTTTTTTTTCCTCAAGATTTAAGAACTTGTCAATTTACCAAAGAAAAAAATTGGGGGTCACAATTTCTTTTGCTAATTCTTTGTATATAGTCTGAAAACAGATTTACTAAGTATTGCACAACAGCACAGTGTATTGCACAACAGCAAGAAATCTTCAATTGAATATAAATTCAAATCATACAACCAATTTCAAGTTTTTTTATTACATTTATTCTGTGTCAGAAACCTATAATGTGTCAAATATTTAATTACAATCCGAATTCAGACCTGTATCAAGCTTGAATATTGTGTCCATTTTTGACCCAACTATTCAGGGTTGTACCACAAGGTTCAATACCACAAGTAGAAGGTTGGGATTCATTTTGGGGGTAATTGCCCAAACCGTTCAGGAAGTAGGGGTCAAAAAGGGTCTAAAACAAGCATTTTTCTAGTTTTCAGACAATAACTTGTGTTTAAGTGTATGGATGTCTCTTCATTTGTACCACATTTTACAAAAAGAAAATTTCTTCAAAATTATTTTTTTTGGAAAAGGGGGGGGGGGGTAAATTTTTTTTTAGGGGGGGGGCAATTTTTTTTCCTCAAAAGAAAATTCTCTTCAAATATTTTTTTTTTTTTGGGGGGGGGGGGGTCAATTTTTTTTCCCACAAGATTTAAGAAATTGTCAATTTTCCAAAGAAAAAAATTGGGGGTCACAATTTATTTTGCTAATTCTTTGTATATAGTCTGAAAACAGATTTACTGAGTATTGCGCAACAGGCTACAGCACAGTGTATTGCACAACAGCAAGAAATATTCAATTGAATATAAATTAAAATCATACAACCAATTTCAAGTTCTTTGACTACATTTATTCTGTGTCAGAAACCTATAATGTGTCAAATATTTAATTACAATCCAAATTCAGACCTGTATCAAGCTTGAATATTGTGTCCATTTTTGCCCCAACTGTTCAGGGTTGGACCTCTGCGGTCGTATCCAGCTGCGCTCGGCGAAGCAGTTTATTGTATTTCCATTTCTATGATTTATCTATTTCGTTCTTTCAACAGCAGCATAACCTTCTTATTTGTATACCGATGTTCTCCAAATAAATTTCAATTAAACAACTTTTACAGCCTTTCAATTTTCATTGCTTTCTCATATATACACTTACATATTTTAGCCGTGCTTTTGATATTTCAAAGGGACTACTTAGTGGGAAATATTCTGAGTAGTTTATCTATGGTATACTATTCCAAGCATGTAGATGCAATATATCAGTGTCAACAAAACAAGGCCGAACAATGTCAGCAAGCTGCATTATAATATTAACAGACGCTTAGGGTATGGACTTTCGTTATCTCGATATTTTGTTTTGTGTACAAGTTTTTTTTTAAACTTAGTCTATCTTTAACATTTCAACTTAAGATCCCTTATTTTATGTGTGCTTGCTGTTATCCATAAAATTTCAAATAACTGTATAGTTTACTCGTGTTGCCCCTTTAATCTTCTTTCTTCAATGTTGTATGGAAAAAATCAAGAACACATGAAATAAAGGAAAATAAGTTGAAATATTAAAGAATATTTACTAAAAAGAATATGTGTCCACATGACTTATTAGCCCGCTTGTACCTTCATGTTGAGTGAACCCTTAAAACACATAAAAATAAACATGCATACCAAAAATTTATTTGACCATGACCTGGAGGTTATCTACAAAGTAACATTAAACTTAGATCTAACTTTAAGCTGAGAATCATCACATTTCCATGTTCAGTGAATCGTGAAATTTGGAACTAAATAACCAAAACATTTAACATGATACGGGACGAAAACAAACGGATGCACATACCAGAAGACACAATATCCCTCATTGTCATAGACAGTGCATGGTCTCAACTGAGCCTGTTAACAAAAGTAGATTCTAATTCATTTGGTCTCTGGTGGAGAGTTGTCTATATTTTTTTTCTTTTTATAGCAATCAAATGACTGTTTAAACCATTAATAACACAACCGATCATGTTGATTGGTCAGCTGAAACTTGAACAACAGTTTAAACATAACAGGAAAGGTTCTAGCACAGAATTAAGTTGATTCATTTTGTGACCAACTTTGGGTTAATGACTTCATAGATTTAGATTTGATACTCGTCTTGCACTGTTCAACGACCTTCATTTCAGGTTAGACAATATGTAGGTGGGTTATTTTATAAGAAATCTTTAGACTAAGTCACTAAAGGGGTTCCAAAAAATCACCAGTCCTACACAGCTGATAGCATAGCATCTACACATGTGACTATGTGGTATCTATTTTAACTATGTACATAGGCAATAGGAACCTTGAATAGCATGTCCAAGTTCAAAATAACAAGTCTAAAGAAAATGAACCCAATCTTACTTGCAAAATTTAAAATTCAAATGAATAAAGGTTTAAACACAGATTAATAAGATCTTGTTAAGTAAATCCCTGGTTTAATGAAAACATAAAATATTTATATAAACCTCCAATAGGAAGACAATGTGTGCACATTCTGGAATGTCTTACCAGCTTTACTGATCATGATTGAATTTTATGTGGAGTCTTCGTGTGTTTATGCTATAGGTGTCACACAAACTTGATTATTAAGGATTCATGAAAATTAGGTCATGGTAAGACAAACCCAAGTAGATGGACATGTACACATACATTTCATACACCAAATATAGTTGACATACTGCTTACAGTATCTTGAGAAAAAACCTTACCACGAAAACTTAACTTGGACCAATAAACCATACAAATGAGGTCAAGGTCAGATTATTCTTGCTAACATGTGTACTTTACAATCATTTCATACACTGAATATAGTTGACCTGTAACTTATAGTATCTGAATAACCTACTTGACCAAAAATTTTCCAACCATTAAATGAGGTCAAAATCTGGGGAATCTTACATGACAGACATGCAGACCTTTCAATGAGTCCATACACCAGCTAAAGTTTACCTTTCACTCAGAATAGGTGAGAAAATCCTGTGATAATAAAACTTAATGGTTTGGTTTAAACAGTCAAAGAGGTCATCTTTAAAAATGTTGTTTAAATACATTTTCCGTGGCTTCATTGCATTTGCAATGCCAATTGAAACTGTAAACTAATAATCATTCAGAACATATTGTATTGTAAAAGTTACAAAGCTTTTCAAAAATATCAGCTGGGATATTTTACCTCTTGGAAGAACTGTCCCATTGATTAAATACAATAGCTATCCAAAATTATTTTATAAATTACACTGACTAACATCAACTGATACAGTGAAAGGTTTAATTTCCTTGGCAATAAAAATAAATTACTTAAGGCTAGTTTAAATACAAAAGGTAATAAAATGCTCCGCTGGGGCGCAGCTTGATACGACCGCAGAGGTCGAACCCTGAACAGTTGGGGCAAGTATGGACACAAAATTCAAGCTTGATACAGCACTGAATTTGGATTGTAATTAAATATTTGACACAGCATAGGTTTCTGACACAGAATGAAAGTGGTCTAAGAACTTAAATTTTTTTAATTTACCTATTCAAACCATATCATTATTATTTGCTTTTATATATAAATCAGAAATAAACAATTTAAAATGGAAAATTTTAAAGGAAAAAAAGGAAAAAAAATCCCCCCCAAATTTTTTGAACCCCCTTATGATTCATCACCCTCAAACTCAATCCCAGCTTTCCCTATGTGGTATGGTACCTTGCAGTACAATTTCAGAGAGATCCATACACTTGAACACAAGTTATTGTCTGGAAACTAGAAAAATGCGTTTTTTGGCCCCTAATTCCTAAACGTTTAGGGCAATTACCCCCAAACTCAAACCCAGTATTTCCCTTTGTGATATGGAACCTTGCAGTACAATTTCATTAAGATCCATACACTTACACACAAGTTATTGTCCTGAAACTAGAAAAATTCTTGTTTTTTTAGCCCTTTTATGGCCCCTTATTACTAAAATTTTGAGGGAATTACCCCCAAAATCAATCCCAGCATTCCCTTTGTGATATGGAACCTTGTGATACAATGTCAGAGAGATCCATACACTTACACACAAGTTATCATGGTTATTGTCATGAAAGTAGAAAAATGCTTGTTTTTTGCCCCTTTTTCCTAAAATTTGGAGGCAATTACCCCAAAATCAATCCCAGCCTTCCCTTTGTGATATGGAACCTTGTAGTACAATTTCATAAAGATCCATACACTTACACACAAGTTATTGTCATGAAACTAGAAAAATGCTTGTTTTTTGCCCCCTTTTGGCCCCTAATTCCTAAATTTTGGAGGCAATTACCCCAAAAATCAATCCCAGCATTCCCTTTGTGATATGGAACCTTGTGATACAATGTCAGAGAGATCCATACACTTACACACAAGTTATTGTCATGAAACTAGAAAAATGCTTGTTTTTTGCCCCTTTTTGGCCCCTAATTCCTAAAATTTGGAGGCAATTACCCCCAAAATCAATCCCAGCATTCCCTTTATGATATGGAACCTTGTGGTACAATGTCAGAGAGATCCATACACTTACACACAAGTTATGTCTGGAAGTTACAAAAATGCTTATTTTTGGCCCCTAATTCCTTAACTGTTGGTACCATAACCCCCAAAATCAATCCTCTACTTCCTTTTGTGGTATTGAACCTTATGGTAAAATTTCATTGAGATCCATTCACTTAAACTAAAGTTAGAGTGCGAAAACTAATGTGTCTTCGGACGACGACGACGACGACGACGACGACGCCAACGTCATACCAATATACGACCACAAAAATTTTTTTGCGGTCGTATAAAAATTGAGACGTGTGACAGCCTGTCATTTTTATCCAATCAGCGGTGCTTAAAAGTGACGTTAAAACACTCAAGTGGAAACCTCATACATATCAAAATTTATACATAATTGATTGATTTGATTTTTGGTGTTTTAACGTCACTTTTAAGCACCGCTTTTGGGCTATTTCGTGGCGGTCAGTTTTTATTGGTGGAGGAAGCCGGAGTACCCTGAGAAAACCACCGACCTTCGATATGAACTGACAATCCTAGTCAATTAAGATTGGAGTCGAGTGCACCCGCACGAGCTGGGTTCGAACTCACAACCTAAGTGTTGACTGGCTAGTGATTACAGCAGTAACTACTTAGACCACTCGGCCACCGTTATACATAATCAGCGCATGTATAGTCTAAAACAAACATATATGACCAATTGTAAAAATAGTATAATTTGTTTCATCACAAAGGATTTTCACAAGAGCAGTTACGTACAGAAACAACACAAGACATTGAAAAATAAATATCACAATATACAAAAGACACAAAACTAAAGTGAGAGCAATAAGAACCCACAAACTTGTCAAAAATTAATAACAAAGAATTGAGATGAGTAATTTTACCATTCCAAAACTACAGTGGTTTCTGCTTCCAATCAAAAAAAAAAAAGATACAATGATTTTGTTTTCAAAATCAAAACAACCTGCAACAGCAATAAACTAGATATTATTTAGATATCAAATGTACATAAATAACATATGATTTCAATCAAAATCAAAAAATAACATCTATTAGTGTCATTCTGTATTAATTTCCTGGGATAGGTATATCTTAAAAAGCTGGAAGTGTAAGAATTAACTTTCA